ACTTTGCAAAGTATCTTTTAACAGACTTTCCAAAACTTTTCCTACAACTGATGTAAGACTAATGGGTTTATAATTACTGGGACAATTTTATCACCTCCCTTGAAAATAGGAGTTACATTAGCTAACTTTCAATCCTCTGGTGCCTTCCCACTATTCAAGGACTGACAAAAAAATAGTAGCAAGTGGCTCACATATACAATCTTTTCCTGCTTCAGAAATCCTTGGGGAAATATTACCTGGCACAGTCTTATCATTCTTTAAACTTTCCAATTTTTTCTTAAGCAGCTCAGAATTAATGCAGATATCTTGTTCGATCTTGTTTTTATCTATCAATTGTTAATGCACAAAACATGCATAATATTTTTTTTAAATATTTTCCTCCAACGTTGATAAGTAATATAATACTCATGTTTACACCCTCAGAGTTCACTTAGTATTTTGTAATTCAAGAAGCCACTTCATTTCTCTGTTGTTTTTCCCTACTTTAACTGATTAAAAAGATGTGCACGCATGTGGATAAGTAATAATACCCAAGTGCATACCCTCAGGGTCCACATAGTATTTTGTATTATAAGGAACCAGTTCTTTTCTATGTGGTTTTTTGCTAGCTTGCCTCATTAAATGATGTGCATGTGTGCATGCACGTGGATAGGTAATAATACACAGGTACACACCCATAGGGTCCACTTAGTATATTGTAATGTAAAGAACCACTTCTTTTCTATGTGGTTTTTCACTAGCTTACTTCACTAAAAATATGCACATGCGAATGCACACACTCATGTGGATAAAATAATAATACCCAGGTGCACACCCTCAAGATCCACATAGTATGGGTGCAAAATTTCAGGTTTCTAAGTTCTATTCTCTTGAAGCTACGGTGGTCACACACACAGACCTACAGACACGCCCTTTTATTATTATAGATTTATATTTCTTTCATGTATGTGTGTATATATATATATATAATATTGCAAGCTGTATATTTTAAATGTAATTTATTATTAGCTATAGGGAGCTATGGGTTTTTGATGATGTAATGTGACATTAAGTTCACATTAGTTTTAGATTTATTTAGAACAAGGATAGATTGTAAAAACAACATTTTGTAAAGCATCGAGTTAGTTGAGAGTTGAGAAATGATGAAAGTTAGTTCAGATTAACTACTTAGAAATATATTAATTGTGGGAGTGGTTTATTTGCACATTTTTTTCTAAGAAATATATTTAACTTGTTAGTTTTAATATACTAAAAAATTTTAGTAACTGAGATATATTTATCCAAACTTTTTATTTTGGCCTTTTTTAAACAATGACTGATATTGATAGAAATCTCTAAACGTTGTTCACTTTCCAGCACCAGTTCCTGTGAGCTGTAACATTGAAAACATATGCCACCCACAAGCATTATGTGTGTTTGACTCCTCAGCTGATGAATACAAATGCCGTTGCAATGCTGGGTTTGTTGGGGATGGGTATCAGTGCACTCAAAGCCGTAAGTATAGTTATGTTTTTTGTACATTTTAGGAGGTAAAAATGTATAAGGAACAGATGTCAGTTAACTAAAAGCTATGAGTATGGTTATGTTTATCGCATGTTTTAGGAGGTAAATATACATAAGGAATGGATATCAGTGCTATTGAGATCAGGAGAATGGTTGTCCTTACGAAGTAGATGGATATTGGTGTTGATATTGTTAAGTAGATGAATGTGGGAAGTGGATTTCGTTGCTATAAAAACAGCATTTTAAACTAAATATTGTTAGATAGATGAATGAAGAGAATGAATTTCATTGTTATAAAAGCAACGATGTTAACTAAATATTATTAGGTAGATGAATGAAGGGAGTGGATTTCATTATAATACAAGCAGCTATGTTAACTAAGTATTGTTAAGTAGATGATAATAGTGTTACGTCTGTTCGTTTGATAATACTGGTTTCTCAGACTTATTGGTAGTATTCTTCTTACACTGGCTCTTGATATGTCTTTGCTCTCCACAATTCCAGCAACCTCTCTGGGTAGCAGCCTTTTCTGCCGTGGCATCTTCCCTGTGTTGAAGTTGCCGGCATTGAGATTTCTTGTGCCCAGGTTTGTTACAGTGCCAGCAAAGTCCCTCAAACCTCTCTGATAGCTGATCTTTTCTGGCCTTGAATCGTGATGACTGTACCAACCTTGGTACCTCTGTGCTGTACTGAACGTAGGATTCGAATTCAAGAGCTCTGGCCATTGCATCCTGCATAGTAGAGGGGTGTGCTTGCTCTACTTGTATCTTTAGTTGTGGACTGCCTAAGGCATCTACAAACTGATCCCTTAGCAACAGCTTGAGGACATCGGGTGGTGCAGTTGGGTAGGCCTTGTGTGCCATACTTTCCAAATCCTGTGCCAGCTTTTGCAGGCTCTCTTCTTTAGCACGGACTCTAGTCCTAAACCTAGCCCTGTAGACTTTGGACTGATTTTAAGTTCCATACCTGAGATCTAGAGCAGCTACCAGTCCTCTGTAGTTCTGCCTGTCGTCTGCTGACAACTGTCCAAGTATTTCCAGTGGTTGTCCCTTCAGGCTTGTAGCGAGGTACACTGCTTTCTGCTCCTCTGTCCATCCATTCATATCTGCCAAGAGCTCAAATTGTGCTCTATATGCTTCCACAGTGCCTTCCCATCAAATTCCTGTGGCTTCCTTTGTACTAGATCACCCCTATTGCTGACACTCATGTCTGGAATATGATTTTTGGCAGGACTGAAGATGTCTGCATTAGGGTTTAGCTGCGAGGTCTGGAAGGGGCTTCCCATTATCGGAGGCTGATTAGGTTTGATGGCTATTATATCCTCCTTGTGTAAAAGACAGTAAATCATCCTTTAATGTATTTAATTCACTTTGAAATTTGCTAATGTTTTCCATTTGTACTTCTTGCCACTGTTGTTGTTGTTTACACTAGGTAAACCTGGGTAGTATAACATTTAAATGTACCTTATCAACATGGGTAGTATAACATATAAATGTACATTATCAACATGGGTAGTGTAACAGATTTAGATACACTGTAAACCTGGGTAGTGTAACATTTAGATGTACCTTATCAACATGGGTAGTATAACAGATGTAGATACACTAGGTATACCTAGGTAGTGTAACATTTAGATGCACCTTATCAACATGGGTAGTGTAACAGATGTAGATACACTGTAAACCTGGGTAGTGTAACATTTAGATGTACCTTATCAACATGGGTAGTATAACAGATGTAGATACACTAGGTAAACCTGGGTAGTGTAACATTTAGATGTACCTTATCAACATGGGTAGTATAACAGA